TTCTTATGTGTATTTCTGCGCGGCTTTTGACAGCTACTTGTGGAGACGGCCCCTTCGTGGTATGCCACTGTATACGGCATCACAAGCTTCACATGGGATTTTGTAAATGTGTTCTTGTTGGTGATGCGCAAGAGAGGGGGCCTAATGGCACAACAGAATAAGTGAGTCAAGTATCCAATCGCGGATGCGCCATTGTGTCTATTCCCGATCCAGACCGCGACAAGGCATCAGTGGGCAAAACGTTTTCGTGTCTTTTGCCTGTGTACTGTAACAAGAACCCAAAGAAGGAGTTTTATTTAAGTGAGTGGAAGGCGAACAGTAGTGTGACAGAAAAGGAGTGAGTTTTATGACAAGCTATCACCTGGACTATAAAGTATCACATTCTGTCAGACCCGAATTCTTGTGTGTTGTTGTTGGTTAGTATTTTACTATGGATGTTTTGAAATGCAGATCTGCATAGCTGGTGGTATAGGGAGAATCCTCTTCAAAGCAACACCCAGCGGCATCTTACTTTGTGTCCCAAAATTTGTTCAAATAATCAAATATTTTTGCTAGGAAAAGCGCGCCTTATATAAACACGGAAATTTACTTACATGCCTTAATTTCTTATAGTTTGTTAAGTGTGATACATTTGGAATTTTTCTAATTTCATGTACGTTATAATTCATTGGATGTTTTGTCATTATCCCTAAAACATCAGGTCGTTAAGAGGAAGTCTACGTCAACTTACCTGAGGTTCAGGTTTGCGTTCTGGAGTTAGATAAGTATAGTCCGCGGTGTGAAGCGCCGCGAAAATTTTCAATTAACATACGCAACCATTTAATTTTAGTTTATTTTATTTGGCTTATTCAACTCATTTAGTTTATTTTTAGTTTAGTTTATTAGTTATTATTATTTATTATCCTATTTTTGCTTTTGTGCTAGATTATGCTTTAAGCTAAATGATTTTGGCTTCCTATATTTTAGGACCTTTAGTTAGTATATATTTTTAGTAATTTATTTAATTTAGTTATTTCCCAACACTTGCATAGTTGCACAGTTTAATATGGGCAAGCTTTTCTGTTGACAAACACTAGATCCTACAAATATTCCCATACTTAATTTGAGAAGTCAAGTTGGGCAAACAAATTTTTTCAGCAAATCATCATCAGGCCGAAAAATTTGCAGGCTAGATCACTAGATCATTTAACCAATTATGCCAGTTTTTCCTACTTTCATAAACGTTATTTTTTTTATTTATTTATCCCTTTCTTAGTATTGTCCAGACTGAATACTTTTTATTACACCCGGTCCTGTATTACAGAAGGATGGGATTTTCGCGTGCTGATCTGGGACCGAAAGTAGGATTCTATCCAACATGGGAATACCAGTGTGGTGCTATAACAGACGAAAAATACATCAGCACAGCAAGGCCCTAAGGAACAAGTGAAAGAAGGAGTCTCATTTATGTTCTTCGGTTATATTTTTCAACTAATTACCTAATAGACTTTAAGTGGCTGCAATCGGGGCTCAAGTGAGAGCTGCAGTCCACTACGGGACGGGTCAGTTCCCTAACCGATCCCTTAACACTTCCTACTATCGTGTATATTCCTGAACCATACCTGCAGGACAATGATATCGTAACCCGACCGTTAGAGCGTGGACTTCTGATCGATACTTTGCGGGTTTGAGGCTCGGCTGCCACAACGCACGGGGTTGGGTATGTTGACTGATGAGGGGTTAAAATCCAGAAATGGCCATTTCAGTCCCGTGTCTTCACTGGTAAGGCACTTCTATTTATGAAAGAAAGAAGAGATCTTTCCAAATAATCAAGTTTTATCGACAAATTTCTGAGCTGCTGACAGCAAACTATCCTCAGACAAAGTAAAAAGAAGTGAGAAAAGACGAAAGTTTTACTAAGCAGTTTATGCGAGCGGACAACTGGAACACTGTTGGCAGTTCGTCACCAGAGGGTTCAAGGGGACCTAAAGGCCACAAAGCCAATTGGTGTGTGTTATCATAATGCCAACACAGTTCTCCATTCGCAAACGCGTTGTGTTGATCTCGCGTGACCGCATTTTTATGTGGTTGGATTTGCATGGGACGTAGGACTGACGATCGTCTAACAAAGTTT